GAAAAGAAAGGAAACTTGGTCTCAAAACAGGCCAGTTTTAAATTACATTGATATAGATATTCATTTAAATTTAAAATGCTCATTGACTTTTCGGGTATAGGCACATGCCCAAAACTGAACCCTGGAGTTGAGTGCTGCTGTCAAAAGCCAGTATTACAATCTGTCCTATAGTGCAGAGGGCAAAACTTGACAGTTCAGTTAAATAGGAGTTCAAAAACTGCTTGTTTGGGGGTTTTTTTATGTTCATAATCTTAGGAAAGGCCATGATAAGTGCTTCTATTGTGGAAACACCCTCCTATTGTGGAAACTCAGGGTGCTGTCCCTCCCTCGGAGCACTGGAATTGGAAGGGACCTCAGGGGCATATCACAGACGCTGGCTGGCTACGGATGTCAATACCAGAGCAGTCCTTCCTCCCCCCTCGCCTTCCCCCTCTTTCTTCTGAGTTTGTTTCCCCACAAGCCTGCCGCCGAAACATCCAAAACATTTGGGATAGTTTTGTTTCATTTTGGAGATATTTCGGAGCCTTCCATTTCATTTTGTATTTGATGTTTTGGGCACTGAAATGGGCCAAAACACCTCCAAACAAAATGGCTACCGAAATTTTGCACAGCCCTAGTGTTTATGTAGGTCAAAATTCAGGTATGACCAGAGTAAATACATTCTTGTCAACATGAATCTCTGCTCCTTGGTAATTATGGGCTCATTGTGTTAGTTCTGTGACATAACATTTTTACATGGTATTTTCATCAACAAGAGAGTCTTTGTAGTAATTTTTGTGTATTTTATTTTTGTTTGCATTTTAGGTCCACTTTCCAGATACAGAAAGAGCAGAATGGCTCAATAAGGTAAGATGAAACTTAAGGATAAAATACTTACTGTCTTTCTACATTTAATGTTTTGGCTATTAACTGATGCAAAGATCCCTGTCAGACTTGTAAAATAACTTGGCTTAGCTAAGAGCCAGTATTTCTTGGATCAATAATCATGACTTTATTTTAAATGGTCACTAAATAATATGCTATCCTTGAAGTGATCCTTTTCAGTCAGCACTAAAATAATTAAAATCAGTCTTGCAGGCAGTTGAAACTGTATATGTAAGCATAGTCATGTTTTGCTGGTTTTCGATACTCTAGCCTTCTGGTTTATAATGTGGAAGTAAAGAGGATTTTTTTCCCTTTCTTATTGGGAACCCTGAAGTTCCATGTGAAACATAATAAAATACAGAATAATAAAGCTGACAGGATTCTTTGGGTGAATCTGATATATTTTATTAGACCAACTTAAATAGTTGGGGGGAAAAATTTAATCAAGCTTTAGGGTTCAAAAACCCTTAGTCAGGCTGAGGAAGTTTCTGCAGTTGGTGTGTGCTCTTCCTGGATGGAATGAAAAGTAAAGAAGCCAGAGGCTGGGCTGGTATGCATACAAGATAGGCAGTCAGTGAAGATGTAGATTGAGGAGTCAATGGGTGAGAGACAGGCTGGGTCGGGGGGGGAGAGAAGGGAGATGAATAGTGGAGAAGTATCTGGGAAGTCAGATGTCAGCCAGGTTATAATGTGTTATAAATCCAATGTCTATATTTAGTCCATGATTTTTAGTATCCAGGAGGTCGATGAAGTGGAGTTCATAGGCTCGTCTCTGGGAAGTGTTTTGTAAGTTTTTCCTTTGAGGATTACAGTTGATAGATTAGAGAGAGAGTGGTTGGAGAGAGAGTATGCCACTGCTTTGTGCTGCAGTGCACACGGTGCACATATGCTTTAATGAGGGACAGATTGTCCCACTTTGGGCAAACTGCCCTTTCCCCACCTGCTGGTGTGCTAGAGCAGCTGGGTCACAAGTGAAACAGTAGAGACGCTGTGACTGGAAGCCATATCGTTTCCCTGGAGGACTGAGACTCCATTTGTACCGGCGCACACTATTGTAGCAAGTGCCATGCCCCTTTTTTCCTCACCATATTTTTTTTTGCTACAGGAAGTCCCAGTAGTAAATTTTGCCCCGGTGGTGCAAACTGCAGAACCACAAACTGAAAGTGCCTGCATGCCTGGATGTGGCTTTGATGTGTGAAGGCTTTTTACCCGGGTGCCCAATGAAACTACATAGATAGCGTACAACTCTTCAATATCATCTTTTTCTCTCTTCCCAGACAGTAAAACAGATGTGGCCTTTTATTTGCCAATTTATTGAGAAACTTTTCCGAGAAACAATTGAACCAGCTGTGAGAGGAGCAAACCACCACCTTAGTACCTTCAGTTTCACAAAAATTGATATTGGTGACCAGGTCAGTTTCTTTTAACATTTGACCTCTTAAATGTATCTGTTTCTTCCCTCATGTTTTACTAAAGAAGCATTAACTTTGTCTTTTTTGAGCTGGGGTTGCTGCTATAGAGAGAATGTTTCCAAAAAATGGGGAAGGGCCCAAAGAGTAATCTTTCAATTTCCTAATATTAACATAATTGACTATATTTATTACTTTCAAGAATAATTTGAAATTAAATCCATGGGTTAAAGATATTTTGTATAAAGAATCTTTGATTTTTTTTTTTTTTTTTTTAAATACAGTTTTTACCTTTTAGTTTATCATCTATGCTAGTATTGCTACTATTGCAGGGGCAGGCAATTATTTCAGCTGGAGGACTGCTTAACGAGTTTTGGTGAGGTGTCAAGGGCCACAAAAGTAGTTCTACCCCTTGACAGATGCCCTGCCCCTGGTTGCCATTTTGGGACCGGAAGTCCTGCCTCCTAGGCCCTGACCTTTGCCCTTGGAAATCCTTCCCCTTGCCCCCAGAAGTATTCCTGTTGGGAAGGGATTTGCTATCTTGGACCTGGAAAAACAAATTATATACTAAAAATTAAACATTGACAAAAACATATTTTAATTTTATTTAAAAATATATTTTTGTCCTGATTTTGTGCGCGTGTGTGTGGTGTATATATAGAGGTGATTTCATAATAGCTCAAAATGAAATCTTACTCTTGTGTATTGGGCATGTGGAAGGGTATGGGTGGGTGGGTGTAGGGTTTGTTGGGGCCTGTGGATGTGTGTGTGGGGGGGCGTGGATGTGGGTGGATGTTTGTGGGGATATGTGGGTGTATGTGTGGATGGGTAAGGTGTTGGGGGCGTGTGGAGGGGAGGTGGCTGAGGGTGTGTGGGGGCTGTGGGTGAGCTTGGGGTTGTTTGCTGTGTGGGGTATGTGCATGTAGCAGCGAGTAGGGATCACCCCAGAGGGGTGTGTATGGGGCTAGTGGGCGGTGAGGGTATGGGTGGGTGTCATCTTTGTAGGGTGTGTGATTTGTGTGTGCGGGAGGGTGTGGTTCTGGGGTTCGTGGAGGAAGGTTTTTGGGTATAGTGGGATGTGCATGGGAGTCCCCCTACTCACATGTGCATGCCCTCCCTGAGGTGGTTAGCACCCATCCCCACCCCGCAACAACCCAGAGCCCACATGCCCTGCTGGCATTTGCCACTGCCAGCAGCGTGCAGCCCCAGCGCACCCCACATCCGCTCTGGACTCATCTCAGTAGGAGTGGATCAGTGGGAAACCGACCCCACGCAGCCCTGACCTGGCCTGCCCTGTGCCTGCTCCACACTGCCCACTCGTGGTATGTCCTGCCACCCTGTGGGCATGCAGCAGGGCTGGGGCAGCTCTCCAGTGAGACTGACTTCCTAAGCAGCCCAGGTGGCGACAGCTGCTTTTGGCTGCCACTGCCACTGGCCCCAGCCCTGCGGTACCAGTGGGGATTCGCGCTGCACAATCCCGCCCCACGCCTTCTCTGGATTCACCAGCCCAGGCTCAGTAGTGGCAGCGCAGGACAGAAACTGTTGCTGAGTGGGGGGGGAAAAGAGGCCCTTCCACCTCACCACCACCAGGCTGTTCCTGCTACAGTTGCCCAGAGCTTGCACCATGCTAGGCTGCCCTATGTCTGCTCTACACTGTCACCACTGCTGTGCTGGGCAACACAGAGGCAGTGGTGATGGCGGTGTAGATGCAGGGCAGCCTGGTGCAGTGCAGGCTCTGGGTGGCTGCAGCAGGAGCAGCCTAGCAGTGGCAAGGAGGAGCCACTTCCCCTCCCTCACCAAGTTTTTGTCCTGCACTGCTGCTGCTGAGCCTGTGCGGGTGAGTCCAGAGCAGGCGCAGGGCGTGTGGAGTTGGGGCTTGCAGCATAGGTTCCCACCAGTACCATGGGCCTGGGGCTGGTGGCGGCAGCAGCTGGAATGAGTTGCTGCTGCCTGGGCTGCCTAGACAAGTAGTCCCGCTGTGGATACGCCTCAGCCCTACTGAATGCCCAGGAGACAGCAGGATGCGCCACGGCTGGACTATGCCTGGGCTAGGCAGGACCTGCTGCAGGCTGGACAAAGACCCACCACGGGCCAAATGCAGCCCATGGCCCATATTTTCCCCACCTCTGTGTTATTGCTTTCTTTTTATAATAGACTTTGGCAGTGTTTATGGCATTTAATATTAGTGCTGATCATTAATGTCATGGCATTTTGGCTAGGTATGGATAATGTGTTATCTTTATATTAGTGTGAATTAAAAATGTTACTACTAATAACATACAGTGGTGGCTCAGGTGGATGGTTGCTAATATAATGGAGCTAATGTAAAGTATAACCAAAGAAAAGTTTGTTAAGTATTTGTAAGAAATTGTGCTATAAATGCATTCTGAGTATGTACAAATGGCTCTTGTGATGTTCTTCCACCTTATTTTTCCTTTCTTATGAATTTGTCTTTGTTGGTTTCCATTGAGTTTTGTAAACTTATACAATGGCTGCATTTTGCCTGATTTGAACATTAATCATGTTTGTCAAAGAAAGGCCCATGTAGGAAAAGCTTAGAAGAGGGTAACAATTTGGAAACAAATCTATATAGTATAGTAACATCCTTCCAATCTATAATTTTATAGAGAACATTCTTGTTTTAGTGTATTAATTGATTTTAAAGACAGGTTCATGATTCACAAATGGTTCACAAATTGACTAGAATGCTTCCTCAGTCCATCAGCTGGGGCTTTCCCTGGCCAGAATGATTTTTTTTGGTTCATCAGAAGTGCATGCTATGACCAGGGCATGCTGTGTTCCAGCAGTCTCTATCTGTAGAATACATCATTAGAGATTGCTGCAGCCAAATTTAACTTAGAATAGCTCTGAAATTTCTTTGAAGCACAAGAAATGTCAGATTGACCATTTGAAGTTTTGGAAATTGGGGGAAGATACAGATTAGAGCACCTAGTGCTTCTGTTCAAGCCAGAGTTGGCTGCTCCCAGGTGCAGCATCTACATGTGTACCCAGGAAAGCAGCCGTTTGAGCCAGGGCTGGCAGCAGGCTCAAGGGGTCAGCCCCAGGCTCCAAGTGGCAGTGTTGGGCATTGGAGGGCTGGCTGGGGCACAAGAGTGCTAAAGTGTTGGGCTCCGCAGCAGGCAGCCCCCACACTTTAGTACCCTCATGCCCCAGCCAGCCTGTCACTGTCTACACATGTGTTTCATCGCACTTAATTACTCTTCCATAAGATAGTACTGCCACCAACAGTACTAACTTATGGCGGAGTTAGTTAATGTACTGTGCCCTAACACTGGTGCACATGTAAATAGCGACGCTTTACTGTGGAGCTGTTTAGTCAACTCCACAGTAAAGCACACATGTAGATGCACCCAGTATTTACCAGTCTTATTTTTTTCTTGTTGGATTGACATGTGCACATTTGTTTTTTCTTAAATAAAGCTTTTTATAAACATTGTCTGATTGGGACACAATAGAAAGCTATTGCAAACGATGGGAATATTTACACTGATTTCAATTGGCTTCAGGTCAGACTTAGTGCATGTATTCACTTATAAGAGCTGTACATCAGCAAAATGTTTTCCTAGAAAAATTATATCAAAATGTATCTTTGTCCTATCTCCTAAAACTGCTTGTTATTCAAGAGTTGTAAGAGACCTTTCAAGTTGGAAGATGCAGCACATACTTCTTTGTGTAATCAATGCCACCATATCCTTTCACTATCACACAGACCCATAGCATTTACTTATATTGGCCCAGGGTGTAGTACCTTGAAATCCTGCCTTTCCATCAAAAATATTAATGTATCATATATGATTGCTAGTGATACATATTCATTAACTTTTATTTGAAACTAAAATGGAAATCTTGGTTACTGAGCAAGTTTCAGAATTACAGTTTGCACTGTGACCCACAAGGCAGGGTTGCGAGAACCTTACCTTCACTCATGAAAACAGTCATTGCCATGATGATGTAAATACCCTATATAGAAAATCAGTCATATTCTGATCTTAATTGTTCAGACTGGGTCTAGATTAAATCAGTGACTTTTTGGTGATGTACTTCTGTGCCCTACAATAGGAGTTTAGAATGTGAATCTTAGTTTGTCAGTTCTGAGGATAGGAAGAAATGAAACTTTGCCAAGCTGTGTGGACAGAAAGAATTGCTTGAGGTTTCTCCATCACATTTCCCACAAATTAGCTAATATATGGGTGGTTGTGTTACAAATGGATAACACTTCCATAAACGTCTGTTGAAAGCTGATATAGTAACAAGTCTGATATATGAAGAGAGATGGGATGCTTCTGCTGGGAAGGATTATAAGTGTTGTCAATTCAGATAGAAATGTTAGAGCAGGGTTTTCAACCTTTTTTAGTAAGTGTACCCCCAGTAACCAGATGTGGCACTGGTGGGGGGCACACGGCCAGTTGCGGAGCAGCAGCCGCATGGGGTGGTGCGAAGTGGTGGCAGCTGCCACATGCGAGGTTCGCTTCCACACCGTGACTGGCTAGCTGGGTGCACCTGCGTGGCCTGCAGAGGGGCACCGCTGCCCTTGCCGCCATCCCCGCCCCCAGCCTGCTCCTGGGAGGCGGAGGTGTGGGGTGGTGGCGCTCCATCGTTGCTTGCCTGTGCGTACCCCCGAGGGCCCTCCCAAGTACCCCCGGGGATACTAGAGGATGAATGTCTTGATATATAAAATATGTGGGGAAAGCCTGAAATCTAGCACTGAATCCTTTTTCCTGGCAAGGTTCCACCATAATTGTCAAACCATAATAAAGCAGCGTTCCTTTAAAGCTGAGCATGTGACAGGTTAATTCCTACCCCTTTAGATAGTCACACTTAATAAATTACTGTTTTAAATTGCGTTTTTCCAGTAATGCTTTGAATAATGCCAATAGTAAATATTTAAGTGACTTCTGCTGCAAATGTTTGAATGCTGAACTTTTATGTTAAAGATAACATTGCTTGATACATTTGGGAAGAAGGGCTTTTTAATATAGCAATCCTATTCTTATTGTTTCAGCCAATTAGAATAAATGGTGTAAAAGTGTACACTGAAAATGTGGATAAAAGGCAGATTGTTTTGGATCTTCAGATCAGGTAAATCATTAATATACCAGAGCATACACATCCTTTATAAAAACATTTTAGAGTATATAAATTTGTCATTTGATTCTGTGCTCATGTTGTTTGGTTTTGTAATAGAGTTGTAGTTTTAGGAGTCTATTTCTTTAAGCAAATGTAATCACTTTTAATATGCTTGTTGATAGAGAAAGAAGTGCACATTAAGTAGTTTTTTCCTAAACAAGGAAGTTTGCAGGCTTACTTTTTGAATACATTATTTTAAAATGATTATTGTGAAGGAGCACCACTTAATTATTGGAGGTTATACTTTAGGCATAAAGTCTTGCTTAGTCTGGGGTAAGACTTTAATATGACAGTCTTACTCTTTCTATACTACTCCATTCATATAGGTTAGTTTTAAAGTAAAGCAAAAAAAAGTTACTGGAATCTTTCATACTAAAGCCTTTAGATTTTTTTCCACGAAGCATTTCAGCCTGCTTGCAGGAGGGGTCTGAAGTGCCCTTCAGTTCTTTGACTCCCTTCACCAAGCAGAAAGGAAGGAGGCAAGATTGAAAAGAACTAACTGGGCCATGTCCCCTTTCCACACATTCACCTCTACGAAGGGGTGGAAGCCAGAAGGGCAGCATGCACCAATAGCCACATTTCCGGTGCAGTGGAGCTTGGCCATCTCTAAGCTCTGCAGTTCTGTGGCTTTAGCCATCCCACATGAAACCCAGGCAATGTGAGGTGGAATTTCTGAGAAGCCTTTCCTCAAATCGCAAAACAAATGTGGTTTGTTTGTTTTTTTGAGAGACCAGAAGAGGTTTACTTGAGTGAGAAGGGACAGGTAAGTCCAGCCTCTTTGAGAACAGGGAGGCAGCTAGTCACTGACAATATTTTTGGAACTCTTCAGGCTGGATTTCCATGCTCTGAAATGGAACGAACTTCTGTGGGGAACAAATAATGCAATCAGTGGTTTTTCTCACTTGCCTTTACAGAATGCAGCATGGTGGGTAGTTATACAAATAGACCAAGATATAGATGTATGCTGATTCATTTAGGGGTGTGTGCATGTCCCTGTCTGTCCCACAAAGCAGGAAAAGGGACTGAAATTCTTCCTCCCAAGGAAAAGATCCATCACACAATCAGAGTAAAATATATTTAACAAAAAAGTGATTGGCCTTTTCAGGCAAAAATGGTACTGAGTCTTGTAAAACTACACTTAAGAGTTTTGAAGCCATTCTAGACTAGTCTTATTTTCTATATCCTTTCTAATGTACCGAGAAAGATTATACTAAAAAGGGACAAGGTTTTTTTTGCATTCCAGATCATCTTTAGATGTGTTACCTTCACTTGTTCTCAGTCCTGGAGTCTTTGCTGATCCTGTCCCACCCCCTTTTTCCCAGCACCTTACATGATCTCAGTCCCTTTTCTACTAACCTTCTACCTTCCATTTATTCCTAGCCTCAGTCCCCTTAGCCAGCAAGTGCCAGATTCTTTTCAGTCAGGAACTTCCATACCTTTCTGTCAGTAGTCTACACTTATGAGTTTTTGATTCTGCCTTCTTCCTCCTCTTGACCTTTTTGCACGTAAATTAAACAAGTTCCTTTTCTGCCCTAGTTTGGCCTAGTAAAATTCCTTCAGAGCAGAAAATTCCAGCTCTCAGTTCATGTGGCCATGCCTAGTATTGTGAGCTGTAGTGAGAGGTGAAGTCCTACTCAGTCCTGTGCTGGAACATGCTCTGGGCAGATGGAATCTTTAGGGAATTAAATTATTAAAGTCTAGTGAGTCAAAACCAAGTAAGTGCAACACAAGTTTTCAGTTTTGTAACTTAGCCAAATTTGGGTGGATTTCCACAAGAATAACAAAAGACACCTCTCTGATGCAGAGGCCACCGTTGCTAAATCTCAGTTCCTGGTCCAAAGCATGGGGATTCCATAGTTGCTTAAAATTTAATTGCCGGAATGTGTGTGTGTGTGTGTATTAGTGTGTGTATGCATGCATACACACACCTTTATGGAAATACTAAATCATTGTTTATTGAAATTTTCTGAAACAATTAGGCTTGAGGCCAAAACCTGGCTTTTAAAATTATAGCCCAAAGTTTGCAAGGATGTGAGAAAGGGAAAGCAGGTTTTTATAATAGAAAGGGTCATGTGGCCTTAATCACAGACAGTGTTACTACATCTGTGTATAAAATAATCCAAAGCACCTCAGTGTGAAGCAGTCTGGAACCCATACCATGACCTACAAGACCCATTACTAGATGCACTAAAATGAAATGTCTAATAAGGTTGAATTAGTGTTTTAAGATTAGGGATTTATTTCTGTATAGGTTGTGATTACAGTTGTGTGTACAACTGTTTTATACAGAATGTTTGACTTCAGTATGATAAAAAAAAATGCTGGAGGTAGCAGTAAAGTGTGTTGCAATTTTGGAGTTTAAAAAAAGTAAAATTTAAATGTCACTATTTTTCTGTCCTTTTTTAGTTTTGTTGGCAATTGTGAAATTGATTTGGTGATCAAGAGATACTTCTGCAGAGCTGGTGTGAAAAGCATACAGGTAAAGTTCAATCTTTCTTTGTTTTAACTGTTTTACAAGATATCTCATACTTTGTGATATACTTCAGCTCTTGCTGAAAAACAAAATTTCACTAAGTCTGTTGTTTTCATTGCTTGCAAATTATTTAGTGGCTACCAGGAATCCTGGCTTTCTCTGATTTAAAAAAAAAATCCCACTTTTCAGATTTTAAAAAGTAACCCAAAATCCACATTTTTCCATGATCAAAATGAAATACCACTGGGGGGTGTTTGTGTACATATTAGTGGCATTTCGTTTTAAACATGGAAAAAATGTGGATTTTGGGTTACTTTTTTTAACCCAAAAATTGGGGATTTTTTTTTTTTAATAAGAGAGAACCAGGATCCCCAGTGATTACTATTTGCTGAATAATAGCAAAATAATTGAAATAGGAGTTATCCTCTCAAATGTGAAAATAAATGTTTTTTTCATATACAGTATCACCTTTGTCTGAGATGCACACATGCACATATATAGCACAGTTTGCCAAATACAAATCCTTTCATTCTGTTTCCTTAGTTCAGAAGATAGGTCATTAAGTGTAAAAATAATGTTCATGTAAGCATCTCAGATGTCCTTCCTGCAGGGCATCTCAGTCATGGAAGTTTGTATTATTGATGTAGAGAATCATTTGTTTTAAAAGCATTCTTTTCAACTTGTCCTTCCTGTTTAGTAAGAAAATGCTTTACAGCAGGCCACTGCTGCCTGGCTAAGCCTGTGATGTGGGGAGAGCTGTCCCAGCTGCAGGGCGCTCCCTCTCAGCTGTGTGGAGATCAGGATCAGTGCCGATCTCTGCAGGGTAGGGAGAGTTGTCCCCACTCTGGGGGCAGCTGCCTCCCAGCTATGTGCAACCAGTCCAGATCTCCACATACAGATGCACCCACTCAGATGGAGATAAAATAATTAGATAATTCACCTAAAAAAATCCACTGTATTCCATAATAGTCTGTGGTTTATAGTAAAATATTTTTTCCTTATTTATTTATTTATTTACATTCCAATTGCATCCAGGGAACTATGATATTCACAGTGTGTAAATCAAAGTATATCAACACTGTGTAATTTAACACTGTTTAGGCTGAATTTTGCCATATATAGGAAACTTTCATGAGGGGAACCTAGATAGCACTTGCCCCTTTAGTTAGTCTTGGATGACATAGTCATTGCACTGCCTAAATTTCACCTGTAAGGAAGGACTTTCAAAAACATCAGTGCATATTTACTATTGGATATGCTTGATAATTAATTTAACACCATTCATTTTTTTTCCAGATTCATGGCACAATGAGGGTTATTCTGGAACCATTGATTGGGGACATGCCCTTAATTGGAGCACTGTCTATTTTCTTCCTTAGGAAGCCCGTAAGTATGAATCAATATTCTGCTTCTTGAATATTGCATTAAGAAGAATAAGAGAGTGAATAAGTTTGTTTGATTTTTTTCTTAGGAAAGAGAAAGTAAATCATGATGATACTGGATGAATATTTAGAATGCTTACATTATGTTATCTTGTCTTAGGATATACTCAGACTTTCCAAATAATACCCTAGCAAAAGTTATGGTATCCTTAGAGGCTAAACGTTGTTTAAAAGCTTTGGAATGAATATGCAATAGTAAAATTATTCTGGGATCTTAGAACAAAGACACTCACATAAAACTATTTCCATTTTTGTCTGTATTTTTATCTCTTCTTAAAAGTATCTAATTTCTGTATTCAAATTTAGATTATCGGTACTGTAATACCTTAGAAATCTAGTCCTTATTTAGGCAGTTATGTCCATTTGAGTCATCTCAGTATTGCATCACAAAAACAACTATGGAAATGGACATTTCTTTTGACTTCCGTGAGCCCAAATCAACTCATTCTGCATTACAGCATAAAAGGATGTGTAGGTAGCAGGAACCTATATTTACAGAAGCAAGAATGTGTACTTGGGTAATTCAGGGTTTTCCTATTTCTGGAATCCAGAAATTCCTTACAAAAGGAATGTCATAAAAAAAGAAATCTTCCAAGAAACTTCAAAATTGTACTCTTGCATTTGGAATGAGGTACAAGCTATGGAAAAAGCTTAAACTTTGAGACTGGGAAGACAAGCAAGTTACAGGTAAACCAGGGCGAGCACTTACAGTTCATCTGCAACTCTGCAGTTGGTGTCCACGTGCAGGTTCTTTCCTGAAGTAAAGATGAGATGTCTTACTCCCCCGTTTTGTTAAGGGGTAAGCCCCTACACATTTAGCACAGGAAAAAGAGCATACACATGGGCAGAAGAGAGCCAGTATGATGGAAATTCACGTTCTAGCTTTCCTCGTGGTAACATGATACAGCTGTACTCTTCTATTTTTCCTTCGGAATAATTAATCCAAGGCTTGAGACAGGCTTAGTGCTCCCACCAATTTCTTTGAGCTGACGCATCATATGACATCTGTCCTTATTATCACCTGTCACAAAGCCATATCTTTATTATATGAACATTTTTCTTCCTTTTCTACTTGTCATCTGATTTGAACAGGTTGTAGATTCATGTTTTATACCATCAGAAAGCTAGGATCCAAGCCTTTGGGTCATACAATTCCAAGATTTCTTGACTACTGACTTTAAATTATGGCTTGTCTATTGACAGATCATGGACTAAGTGCTTCATACTAATAGCTTTCACTCCAAATATAGTATATGATAGTTATTCACAATAAACCTTGGTTTAGGTTTAACACAAGAGATTCTGGATTAAAGATGGCAAATGTAATTTTCAGTATGTGAAAAATATTATTTCCATCTGTCTGTTGTACATATTTAGTGTTACTTTACAGTACTTCTTGCTGAATTAACTTTCATTTGGGATCTGAGACACAGCTGCACAACTGTCATCGTTAAGAGACTGAGATAAATATGAATTCTTGTGTAAAACCTTCAAAATCTAGCTAGTGGTTTGAGAGTTGTCTTCAAAACTTAGGGAAGGTGCTTTGGGACCTGATCTTTCAGTTTCATTTTAGTCTTCTAGACATGCCTTGATGATATCAAACGTTGTTTTCATCCTAGATACAATCATGGGGTGCCTATACACAAGCATGGAGGCTGCTCCAGTGCTCTGTAATTGCAGCATGTCGGAGCAGACTTGATTAAGTGTGGTAATTACCACACTGCAGCAAGCCTCCATGTCTTGTGTATTAGCATCCCCATGCTTCAAAATGGTGTTGGGGCACTTCAACTAAAGCTCATCAAACAAGCTTTAGTTCAAGCACCCCCACTACCATTTTGAAGCATGGGGATGCTGTTGCACAAGATGCTGCGGCCCTTTAATTAGAGTGGCTCTTAGAGCCACTCTAATTAAAGCACCTCCCCCCACCATCCCCAAAATATGTGTAAAGTGCCCATTAGTCTTAATCTGTCAAAAATTACCTAAAACCAATAATTGTCGAAGAGCCTGTTTACTAATCTTCAGGTCTGAATGGTATAAAGCTGCCAGAAAATGAAGTGTGAGCATTTCTCAGGATTTTTCCTATTTGTGCTTATGCTTTTTGACTGAGAACATGTTTGAGATGCGTACTGGAATCTTTTGGTCTTGTTAAACTTTGCAGGACTTGCATTCTTTTCCATAAATTGTAACAAGCACTCTAGAACAAAGTCTGACTTGTGGTCTCTGAAAAAAGTGGCTGTATTTATAACTTGTTCTAAAAATGTTGCTTTTAGAACTTCTTCAGTTAATTGTTCCCACTATTTCCTTTACAGCCTGCTCTAAATTGGCATCTTCATTTTTTATATTTTAATGAACACTTACTAGCTTCCAGGACAAAGTTTTGCCAATTGGCTAATATGTGTATATTTTTAGTCTAGGAAAAGTCTTGGAGTAACTGATACTAATATATCTTAATCAGGAAAGGATGGTTTGTTTGAGGAGCCTTGCAGCTCATAAAGCTTTGACTTTGTTGTGTAGATTGTTCTATCCATTTTGGAGAAACATTTGTGCCTAGTCTAACCCAAAAAACACATGTAAGATTTGTAAGGCAATATTTTCTGGATAAATTGGTGAACATTTCCAGGTAAAGGGTGGAGTCATATCATGCTGCTATATGGTAGTGCTTGGTGACTGTGGAATTTAATTTTGTGTTTGGGAGTAGTTTAATTCCTTGTTGTTGGAAACCAAAGGGGGAAAAAAACCCTGTATTTTGGTTCTTCTTGGCAAGGTGGTGAATTATGAGAAAAATCCCTAAAAGTATCAGACCCTTGAAACTAAGGTAGTGAGAATGGTTCATCCCAACTGAATATGGATTGTCCAAAAGAAGCAGTCTGCTAATTTGGCAAGGTAGACCACTGCCTATTAAAGTGTATGTTTTCTTACAACAGGATTTCTTACCCTTTGAATATTCTTAATTGTTTGTGTGTGTAACTTCTGTAGGAAATGTAAAATCAGGTGCACTACTACAGCAGCAAAGTTCTGTAACACAATTCTATCCACTGCCTAGAAGTTGATGGCAGTGGCCAAGAAAAGCTTTTCTTTAGTATTTTTGTTAGGAGAGAGGAACAGGAGGAATTAGCTGGCAACTAGCAGAGGATTTTGTTCTCATATTTTCCAGTCTAAAGTAACTGGCAACAGTTCCACTTGCTCTGTAGCATCTGTTTGCTGGCCTTGATGACTATATAAGGCAACTCTTGTCTAAATTAATAATTCTGAACATTCTTATTTAGTGAGTGTGCTGGGGCCTTCTATCTTTCTTGAGCAATGTTTGTGTGGTTTTTGTATTGCAAGAGCCCTCTGTCTGGACTTTCTAATAAAATCTTCTAAAGACTAGGTTTTTGGGGAAAGGCTTTTCTACTTATTTTATATATTTACATGTACAATTTCAAAAGAGTGAAAATATTCTGAAGCTGGCTTTCCTTTTTAAAGTTCAACTATGATTTAATACTAAAAATATAAAAGGGAGAATTTTCTGGTAGTCCAGAAATGTGAGTTAAAGCTTGTAAATTTTTGTATGACTAAATATAACTATGTCCTGAACTTGAGTTAACTTTATATTACATCTTTCTCTTGAAAGTTAAACTGACTTCCTCTGCTGGCATCTTTTACCTCTGTTAAACTTGGACATAAAATACCACATAATGAACAGGTTATTCTGATTTGATTTTGTTATTAAAATATCTACTTTTAGTACTTCTGTGTGTTGGTGGCGCTCAAGATTTCCTAGTGACATGTTGCTTAATGTTGAAATCCCTGTCCCAATATCACATCTTTCTGAAGCAACTAGAATTCCAAGTTACAGTTCTAAAAACCTGAAAATGTGTTACAGAAAGGGTTAAAAAAAAACACCTTTATTTTTAAGAAAAAACTAGGCAGCTTCTGGGAAATTTTATAACTGTGTTTTCCCCTGTGTGTTTCTACTAAATCAAATATTGCCATCTCTCTGCTTATTTTGCCTTTGTTTCAGTCCTTCTGTTTGCTATCTCTCCATTTTGGTTATGTACAAATTTGACTATAAAGTAATACAATCACCTGCATCCATGAGACTTAGTCTTTTAGGCATTTCAGGACTTCTTAAAATTTTTACCCATGATTTGAATATGCTTCAGAAAAGACACTCTGCTCTTATGCAACTTAGGGAGAGAAAGATTAAAAGTTTCTGCTTCTGGAAACTCCCCACTAACGCAAATGAATTACAACAGCAAGTAACATTATTCCTTGAAGACCCAGATATTCTGCATACTTATTAAAGCAAATTATTATTAAATCAATGATTAATGCTTATTAAATCGATTATTTGGATGGAGGAGTGAAGAGCTCGCTGGCCAGGTTCACGGATGACACCAAGTTATGGGGCAGTGTGGTCACGTCAGAAGATAGGTCGCAGATACAGGTGGGCCTGGACAGTCTCAAGAGTTGGGCAGACCAGAACCAGATGAAGTTTAATACTTGCAAATGTAAGGTGCTTCATCTGAGGGCAAACAACCCTCAACATACATACAGGCTTGGTGGTGACAGCTTGACTTGCACCATGGCTGAAAGGGACCTAGGGGTAGTGATTGACCATCGTATGAATATGAGCCATCAATGCGAGGCGGTGGTCAGCAAGGCAAACAACACGCTGGCATGCATCAACCAATGCATCTTGTATAAAACTAAGGAAGTATTACTCCCGCTGTACTCAGCACTGGTGAGACGGCAGTTGGAGTACTGCATCCAGTTCTGGGCGCTGCATTTCAGTAAGGATGTGGAAAAACTTGAGAGGGTCCAGAAAAAAACCACCCGTATGATCAGGGACTTGCAAGGCAAACCATACCAAGAAAGGCTGAGGGACCTGGGCCTCTTTAGCCTAAAGAGAAGGTTGAGAGGGGACTTGATAGTGGCTTACTACTATATCAGGGGAGTGCA